TTTTTTTTTTTTTTTTTGAGACAGAGTCTCACTTGGTCGCCCTTGGTAGAGTGGCTTGGCATCTTAGCTCACAGCAACCTCAAACTCTTGGATTCAAGTGATTCTCTTGCCTTAGCCTCCCAGATAGCTGGGACTACAGGTGCCCACCACAGCGCCTGGCTATTTTTTAGAGACAGGGTCTTGCTCTTGCTCAGGTTGGTCTTGAACTTGTGAGCTCAGGCAATCCACCCAACTCAGCCTCCCAAGAGCTCGGATTACAGGCGTGAGCCACTGTGCAGGCCAGCTAATTTTTCTATTTTTTGGTAGAGTTAGAGTCTTGCTCCTGCTCAGGCTGGTCTCTGATCCTGAGCTCAAGGGATCCTACCTCCTCAGCCTCCCAGAGTGCTAGGATTACAGTCATGAGACACTTTCCCTGGTCAAGTCATGTATTTTTCATTCATAGATTTCACAAATATTTACTGAATATCTACACTCAGGTGCCAGGTATCTTGAGGAATTCCTGGTTGGCGTCTGACTTGAATCCTTTGTGGAGCAGGAAAGAATCCTCTTGGAGGAAACGGAGTGCTTCCTCTGGCCCTTTGATTCTCCTGTTTCTTAAACTATCCCGCCAGACGTTAAGAGAGAAAAGTGTATCTTTCTTGAGGTTTTGGGGCTATTGCAACTGGAGGTAGACAGCAAGGCGCCCCGACGCCTTCTGGGAGTTGTAGTTGTCCACGGCTGCGTTACTCCGTCGTCGCCCACCAAGTTTTCTGGCGGCCCACCGCACTTTCCTTTGTGGACGTGGCGAGGGGAGCCCGCGCCCTCGCCCCCTACGCATTTGGCCCCGCCCTTGGTCCTCCTGTGAGCGATCATTGGGCGGGGGGCGGGGCACTGCACCGACAGAGGCGGGGCCTGCCTGGAGAGCAGCCAAATAGGGCATATTTGAGAGAACGCAGTGTGGATTGTGGAGAGCGAATCCTAGCTGGATAACGGGGTAAAGGGAGCGCGTAGGGGTCCCTGCCCAGGGAGGGCGGTTCGGGGCGGATGGAGTCGAGGATCTCCAGGGCCTAGGCTGAGCGCGAGACCAGGGAGCCTGTTGATGTTTTGCTGGCCACCACTTCTCACGGGACTTGGCGCCACGTCTCTCAGATGTGGGACTGCTCTGGGACTGAAGATTCAGTCCCCAAAGCTGGTTTTACTTCTAAGCACCCCGCCCGTCTTTTCCCCGTCGCTAGCCCTTCTTGAGCTCAAAAGTTTGCAGCCAGCTGCTGTCTCTCTGTTCTGTCCTAGGTAATCCCTCTAGACATCCACCCTCCTGTCTCTTTTCTGTCCTCATCTCTGTAACCCCTGGCCTTCGCCACTCCTCAGGAACCGATGATGTGGCGACCATCACTTCTGCTGCTTCTGTGGCTGCTGAGACAAGGAGCCCAGGGGAAGCCATCCCCGGACGCAGGCCCTCATGGCCAGGGGAGGGTGCACCAGACGGCACCCCTGAGCGAGGCCCCACACGATGACGCCCACGGGAACTTCCAGTACGACCATGAGGCTTTCCTGGGACGGGATGTGGCCAAGGAATTCGACCAGCTCAGCCCAGAGGAAAGCCAGGCTCGTCTAGGGTAGGAGGGAGATGGGGGTGGGGTACGTTCAGAGGGGGGTTGGGGAGAGAGATGGGAGCATTGATGAGGGGACAGAAACTAGGGGCTGGGAAAAGGGATGATGCGGTCTGGACTTTAGTTCTTTATGAAGATTCTGTCATGAAGTTCTACCTCCTTTCCTCAGGAAAAACACACATTAAAATTGTGGCCTCAAGAGAAGACCTTTGAGGGCAGCAAACTCTGTGTTCCAGATACCTCCCCTCCCCAAGCCTCAGTTCCCTGCTCTGTAAATGGGTAGGGACTGATGTGGAAGATTAGATTTGGCATGTATGGAGCCTAGTCAGGGCAGAAAAATGGCTAAGTCCAGAATTTGAGAGTGAGCAGGGGTGAATGGGATCTATGAAGGGGATGGAGCATGTTCTGTTCACCCTCTGTTGTGGCAGACAGGGCCAGAGTGGGCTTGAGGGCAGGGAGGCAATGGAAGCAGCCCCTCTCTGTCTGTGCATCCTACTGATGCTCACTCATCCTGCAAACGTGCTAGGATTTGTGCCTGAGCACCTCCTATGTGCCAGGCATTGCTCTAGGTGCTCATTGTTCTAGCAGTGAACAAACAAGACAGAAAGTAGTGGCAGAAACAACAATAAATCAATGAATATAAAGTGCATCAAATGGAGATAAATGTATCAGAAAAAAGGCGAGGGAGTGAGGAAGTGTGGAAGGAAGAAGCATATGTGTGTGGGAGGAAGTCTGAGGAGGCCTCAGTGAGAAAGTGGTATTTGATCCATGTAAGTATCTGGGGGAATAGAAGACCAGGCAGACAGAACAGTAAGTTACAAAGGGCCTGAGGTGGGAGTAGGCCTGGTGTGTTTGGGGAACAGTGAGATTGCTGTGGCTGGAAGCCAGTGAGGGAAGGGGAGAGACTAGGAGGTGAGGACAGAGAAGGAGCGCAAGGGTCAAGTTATGCAGGGCCTTTGGTGTCACTGTGAAGATAATAAGCTTTTCCCTGAGTGAGAGAGCCTTGGGAGCTCTGAGCAGAGGGATGACTTGAGTTAACTTAGGTTTTAACAGAATACCTCCAGCTGCTGGGTGGGGAACAGACTGTAGGGGGACCTAGTACGCAGGGAGTATAGGCATGGAATCAACTGGGACACAAGAGAAGGTGGTGGTTAGGTCAGGGCAGAGACAGTATCAGTGCTGGCCAGGTCAGCTAGCTGGAAAATTGTGCTTGAATGGGGGTAGGTGAAGGAGGGATGGAAGAGGGAGGGCAATGATAGGTTAACACCTTTAGCTTAGTGCTAACTATGGTGCTAGGGCTGTCCTATGGACAGTTCATGGCTTAACTGATAAAATCGACACAGTCACCTGCTGGGGTAGGTACTGTTATTTATTTCCATTTTACAGAGGGGAAACTGAGGCACAGAGCGATTAAGTCATCTGCCGACATCTTCACAACCAGCAAGAGAAGAGAGCAGGGTTTGAACCTACAATGTCAGGCTGTGGAGCCAAGCTCTTAACTATAGCTGGATCCTCAGGGTAGTGTGTGAGTCCCTGGGACAAGAGCTGACCCCTGACAGACTGGTGTTGAAAGGAGGCAGTAACAGGCAGAGCTGGGGAGGGCTTTGCCATCTGGTGTTGGACCATGGGGTCTGGGCCACAGGGGCCAAGACACAGTGACAGGGAGGAGGGCTCTCTATGGGCATCACCAGGGGACAGGAGAGGGGCTGGGGAGCTGACTGGCACTTGGAGAGAAGGGGCTGAGATGGAACCTAAGTGGCTTGACTTGCGACGGGGGTGGGGGTAGGGTTGCACAGGAGACCTGCAGAGCGGAAGGTGGGGAAGATGAATAGCCGAGCCCGCCCGGTTGCGGGTGATGGTCCTTGGTCAGGGCCAAGTTCAGGCAGGAACCAGCCAGAAAAGCTGCTGGACTCGGCACTGGTCGGGGCTGCAGAGCTGAGCCCGAAACTGAAGCGCGACACTAGGGATGAGATTGGAGGACTAGGGGAGGGTCTGGAGACAGAGCCCAGGAGAGGGAGGGGTCGGGGTGGGTATGGCCATGGCGTTTGGGGTTCAGAGTCAGACATGAGCCAAGGGTCCCGCAGACCAGGGGCGACATGCTACTGCCTGCTCCCTCACCGCACCCCATCTCAGTCCTACGTGCTGGGGACGAGGGGCGGAGGTCGGAGTGGAGGCTGTGGCCCTAGGTGGTCTTGAGATCCCTCCCGCAATCAG